CCTCATCCTCCTCCTGATCTGGTTCCTCCTCTCCCGCTCCATGCGTGGCGCCGCCGGAGGCGGAGGCATGCTCGGCTCCTTCGGGAAATCCAAGCACCGCGCCATGACCAAAGAAATGACCGGCGTCACCTTCAAAGATGTCGCCGGAATCGAAGAAGCAAAGCACGAAGTCGCCGAGATCATCGAGTTCCTCAAAACACCAAAGAAGTTCACCAAACTCGGCGGACGCATCCCAAGAGGTGTGCTCCTCGCCGGACAACCAGGTTGCGGCAAGACCCTCCTCGCCAAGGCAATCGCAGGAGAAGCCGATGTCCCCTTCTTCTCCATCTCAGGTTCCGACTTCGTCGAAATGTTCGTAGGTGTTGGCGCATCCCGCGTCCGCGACCTCTTCAAACAAGCGAAAGAATCAGCTCCGTGCATCATCTTCCTCGACGAGATCGACGCCGTTGGTCGTCGCCGTGGTGGAGGATTCACAACAGGTGGACACGACGAACGCGAGCAAACCCTCAACGCAATCCTCGTCGAAATGGACGGCTTCGAATCAGGAGACGGCGTCATCGTCATCGCCGCGACAAACCGTCCCGATGTCCTCGATCCCGCGCTCATCCGTCCAGGACGCTTCGACCGCCAGATCTCCGTCCCGCTCCCAGACGTCAAGGGACGACTCGAGATCCTCAAGGTCCACGCCAAAAAGGTCAAACTCGGACCAAACGTCGACCTCTCCAAACTCGCGCGAGGCACACCGATGTTCTCCGGCGCCGACCTCGCCGCGATCATCAACGAAGCCGCGATCGGCGCGACCATGCACAACAAAGACTTCATCGAGCACGAAGACCTCGAAGAAGCACGCGACAAGGTCAAGTTCGGTCGCGCCAAGAAGTCCCGCGTCCGCGAGAAGGACGAGAACAAACTCGTCGCGTACCACGAAGCCGGACACGCCGTGCTCCAAGCACTGCTCAAAGACGCGGACCCACTCCATAAAGTCACCATCATCCCGCGCGGCGCCAGTGGGGGAGCAACATTCTCCCTCCCAGAGAAAGACCGCATGGGTTACTCTCTCAAGTGGCTCAAAGCGACCATGCGCGTCATCTGCGGCGGACGCATCGCTGAAGCCAAAGCTATGGACGATGTCTCGTCCGGCGCCTCAAGCGACATCCAGCAAGTCACCAACCTCGCGCGAGCGATGATCCTCGAATGGGGCATGTCCCCACGACTCGGATTCGTCAACTACGCCGGTCAGGATGATGCATCAGGATACATCCCAGACAAGGACTACTCCGACGAGACCGCACGCATCATTGACGAGGAAACCAAACGCCTCGTCGATGAAGCCTACTCCCACGCCGAGTCCATGCTCACCGACAACTGGGACAAGGTCGAAGCCGTTGCAGAAGCGCTGCTCAAGTACGAGAACCTCTCAGCCGACGAGGTCCACTCCATCATGCGTGGAGAACCAATCGGCCGCTCAACAGTCGCCGAGCTCCTCGCCGCCGAGCCACCAGCCCCGACCTCCACCAACGGCAATGACTCGGGTCAAAAGAAATCCGAGTCCCCAGACACGGACACCCCACCCGACACACTCCCAAGCCCGGCATAGCAAATCTAGTCTCAGTCAACTACAGATCATTTACACCAAGCCAAAGCTGGAACTCATGATTCTGAATCAACCCATCATGGCTTCAACAAGCGCCTCGCCAGCTTCAACGATGGACTCCCACAAGTCCCATTCAGCTGCTTCATAGATTTCTTCTTCCAGATACATCAGAGTATCGGTCTCTCGAAGCCAATCTTCTACTTCGTTTCCCAGACCTGGGAAGTGCTGGACCGCCGCGTCTATAGCCTCTTGTTGCCCAACCTGCATACCCTGGGCAAAGGCACGGACCGCGTTCTCAGCCGCTTCGCCGGTACCGGGAACAGTATAAATATCCGGAGTATTGGCAACCGCGATCATCCATTGGTCGGTCGCGTCGTTGTATTCGATGATGAACGAGGGCATCTACTACTCCTCAACTCGACTTAAGTGATTTGATGATGATGGTTACACTAATACTCGTGTGGGTAATCTTTGGTGTTGCAATCACACTGTACTCAGAGAGGGGATAAGTGTAAGGTTCCGATGCATCACTCTCATGTTTAACCCAGTTCGGAGTCGAATCCGCTTTCCCATGGGAAGCATACCAATATGGCGAATGACCAATATCAAAGATTTGCACTGGACGGAGTAAACGCATGCCAAACTGTTGGTCACTCTTTGGGTCGTAAAAACAACATCCCATATGAATCTTTGGATTCGATAGATCCTTAATGACATTCTCGCTAATAGACATCGCAGTTTGGCCATCGATAGCCTGCAGCACCTTGCTCGGTGTCTGCGAGAGCGTGTCCGTGAACGGGCTCTCCGTATAATCCATATTCCCTCGTATCCACTCAATCTTCGTCATATTAATCCATGTTATTTCGAACGCCATTCTGATCTCCAGTCCTGATGCAGGCATTGATATGTCGAATCCGCAAATCACATATTGATTACTATGCACCCATGGCAGATGCGAATCGAACATACATAGATTAACAAGAATCTCATCTTTGTGAGAGATACATGAAAAAATAGAATGCTGACAGTACTGGAATCATATTTGTTTCCCAGTTTTCCGAAGCTTCGATACAGACTACTGCAAACTCAAGAGAGCGTGCGGATCGCCCCCGAAACCCCAAAATCATGCGAAAAGTGTGCTTCTTTGTTATGATGACCGCATGTTACCAAGCGACAAACCCAACCAGCACACAGAACACCCCAGCATCATCGCACAAGCAAGCGATCAAATCCTCGCCAAGCTGCACAAGGGTGTGTTCATCATCCAAACCGCGATCATCTGCTACATCCTCCTGCTCTTCATTAGCATCGGGGTAGGCATCGCGCTCGCATCATCTTCATCCCCAGGGACTATCAGCCAGCCACCCCCTGCCTGGCTCAACGCCATCAACGCCATTGGCAATGTAGCATTCGCTGTTGCGATCATCTGTGGATGGTGGCTTTTCTCAAACCCGATCGAGGACCCGGAACATGACAACACCGGCGCAACCCCAAGAAAGCTGGTCCGCATCATGGTGGTCCTGAGCGCCGTATTCACCATGATCAATGTCGCCACATCGTTCCATACTTCAAACACCAACATCGCGCTGCTCAGCTTCCTCATCATGATCATCGCGCTTGGATTCTCAGTTGTAAAGTTCTTCGCCGAGATGTTCTACATCCGTTGGATGGCGCCTCTTCTCCCAAACGATCGTGTCATGAAACGCGCCACCCTCCTGCTCTGGCTCGGTCCAGTTCTTATGACCGTGGGACTCCTCCTCCTTGGTCTAGGTCCAATCATCGCCCTCGTCCTCTATTGGAACATGCTCGACTGGATCCGCAAAGACCTCAAAGCAATCCGAGAGTCAAAGCTCGCGAGCGCGTAAAAAACCCGCTGACGATTCAGCGGGTTTGATTCAACATCCATATCGAGATCACACACCCATCGCGATAATCGCATCCGCGAGTTTCACAAACCCGCCGCGATCGGCGCCAACGCCGTAATCCACCACGCCATTGACGATCGGTGCGTGCTCCACGCACTGCTCGTGGATGTCCAGCATGACGCCGTGCAGCTTGTCGAGTGATCGTTCCTTCGTCCACGCATCGTGCGAAGCGTTCTGCGACATCTCAAAGCACGAAGTCGCAACGCCACCCGCATTCGCCGCCTTGCCCGGACCAAACACCACCCCATTCTCATGGAACACCGAGCGTGCCTCATGCGTGCAAGGCATGTTCGCGCCTTCAGCAACACACTTCACTCCGCGATCAACCAGCGCCGCCGCATCGTCCTTCTCCACCTCGTGCTGCGTCGCACATGGGAGCGCCACATCCGCATCAACAAGTGACCAAGGACGCGCCTCGGGATGGTAAGTAATCCCATCACCACCAAAGTCTTTGAGTCTTCCGCGTTGGACCTCTTTGAGTTCGGTAAGCTCTTTCAGTTGTTCGCTGTTCATGCCTTTATCAAAGCTGATCGACCCTCCCGAGTCAGACATAGTGACGACCTTCGCACCCTTCTGAATCGCAAGCTCCGCAGCGTACAACGCGACATTGCCAGATCCAGAGATCATCACGCGCTTGCCGTCCAGCGACTGACCGTTGTGCTTGAGCATCGCTTCCGCGAATGTGACTGTGCCGTAGCCCGTTGCTTCAGTACGACCAAGCAATCCACCCAGACCCATCGGTTTCCCAGTCAGCACACCGTCGCGCTGCTTCGTGATCTTCATGTACTGACCATACAAGAACCCGATCTCGCGTCCGCCCACACCGATGTCACCCGCCGGCACATCCACGCTCGGACCGATGTGACGGTACAGCTCACGCATAAACGCCTGACAGAACCGCATCACCTCGTTGTCGCTCTTGCCTTTGGGATCAAAGTTGCTCCCACCCTTGCCGCCACCGATCGGTTGTCCAGTCAGCGCGTTCTTGAAGCACTGCTCATACGCAAGAAACTGCAGCGTGTCCTCAGTCACACTCGGATGGAAACGCAAGCCCCCCTTGTAAGGCCCAAGCACATTGGTGTGCTCAACGCGCCATCCAAAGTTGACTTCAACGCCGCCTTGATCATTCACCCACTCCACGCGGAATCGAATCACGCGATCAGGAATCAACAAGCGCTCAAACACACGCGCATCCTGATACTTCTTGTTCGCTTCGATGACCGGCGCGATCGACTCCGCGACCTCCTCGATCGCCGAGCGATACAAAGGTCCAGGTTTCACAGCGTCAATCATCGGATTCAAATCAAAAGAGCGTGCAGCGGTCGTCATTCAAGTCTCCAAGTTCAAGGAAGTCCTGTCGGAGTGCGTGCATGCAAACCCAAGGACCGGGGAGAATTGTTCCCAGCCGCTCACCAAAAGTCACGCAAAAACACCGCTCGCACAGCCAGAATTGATCCCATTTCCTCCGCCCCGAAACAGTTTCAACGCCGTCGGCGCCATCCCATCACCAACCCACCAAAGAGCACGCCCCCAACCCCCGGCGAAGGAATGATGCCTCGATACTCGATCGTCAGCGTTGAGCCCTCAAGAAAGAACGCATCCGCATTGACCGGATCATCCACGAAACTCTCAAAGATCTCAATCTCAAAGAGATTGTTCGGCCCAAGAAAGAAATCAAGATCCAGACTCACGAGATCAAGCACACCTCCGCTGCTCGCCGATGCGGATCCGGGAAAATCATTTCCAAGCAACGGAGCCAGCACAAACCCCTCCTCGCCATCGCCGCCAATATTGAAAGTCACTTCAGAAAGCCAAGAAGCACCTTCAGTTCTGATAGTGAGATCCCATCCGAACGACAAGATATGAACAGACGACCCCTCCGCTTCAAAGTCATAACCCACCACCTCATTGAGCATGCTCCCCATCTCAGCAAACGAGCCGAGACCAGAAATGTCAAAGGTCAGCGAAGGCAGTCCAGTCCCATTCCCCGATTGCCCAGAAGCATGAATCACATCATCAGCATCAACAACTCCACCCAGCGCCAAACCAGACAGCCCAGCAACAACACACAAACCACTGCGATACATCATCATCCCTTCCAAACTCAATCAAATTCACAACCTACTACGACGAGCACCAATCAATCCAACGCACACCAGCAACCCAGCACTCCCAGGCGCCGGCGCGACCAACCCAAAGCTCAGCGTCGAGCCGCTCATCACAAACGCGTCCGCCTCCCCAGTCACATCATCGAAGCTCTCGAAGAACTCCACCCGCACTCCATCCATGACAAAGAAATGATTCCCCATCCCAAACAGATCAACCTCACCCTGAAACCATTCATCCCCAGGAAAGTCCAGCCCAACGCCAGGAGTCAGTGTGTGCGCATTGCCGTCCGTGCTGATCTCCATCGATGCCTCAGACAACCATGAGTTCCCAACCGTCGAGATCCCGATGTCCCAGCGGATCTTCGCGATCAAGATGTAGTCATAAAACGGATCATTCCCCAGATCCATCACCTGATTCATCGCGCTGCCGAGCCCATCATTAAAAGTCGCGCCGCTCACATCGACATCGAACCAGTACACCGTGTCCCCGTTCGGATCCAGTTCAACTCCCGTCGGCGTTAACCCACCAATCGGATCCACTACCGAGCCGGATGCGCCCCCGCACATCAAACCCAGAACTGCCGCAGTTGCAATCATTCCTGTATTCATGTCATGTCCTCCACAGCCCAAGCTTATCACACCTCGCAAATACTTCACAAGCAAATTCTCGCGTCCGAATCAAACGATCGTTCGAACTCACGCTCATGAACTCCTCAAACTCCATCACCATCACCCCCGACACCCACCCCAAGCATGGCAAGATCTGGCGCATCAACGCCACCCAAACCCTCCCGCGACCCATCGAGGAAGTCTTCCCCTTCTTCACCGATGCGTTTAACCTCGAACGCCTCACGCCGTCATTCCTCGGCTTCAAGGTCCTCACACCCAAACCCATCAAGATGCAGTCAGGGACCGTCATCAACTACACACTCAAAATCCACCACATCCCCATCCGCTGGAAAACCACCATCCAGAACTGGGACCCGCCCCACACATTCGTCGACAACCAAGACAAAGGCCCCTACACCCTCTGGCACCACACCCACACCTTCACCCCAACCGACGACGGCAACTCCACCCTCTGCCAGGACGCCGTCCTCTACAAACCCAAAGGCTGGATCCTCGCGCCCCTCATCAACAAGTTCTTTGTGCAACGAGACGTCAAAAATATCTTCGAGTTCAGGTTCCAGCAACTTGAATCCATCTTCCCGCCTCAAGAAACAAAGACAACCCTTGTACCCGAAGCCGTCTTGACATAAAATAACATCGTGAGCAAGACCCCCTCCATAAATAATCTCAAACAAGCCGCGATCGAAAGCGCCGAGCAGTGGGTCATCGAGTGCAGCAAGTGCCACCACGCCGCGCCCGCCATGGAGCGAGGCATCTTCCGAGCGTGGGCATCAAGCACATCCAAACGAGTCCTCGCCCGCTGCACCAAGTGCAACAAGTTCACCCTCGCCAAACTCACCAAAGACCCCGTACGCGCTTACTCGATTGGCATCGAGGAGTACGACCAGATCCTCGATCAGCTTGATCAACTCGACCAGTTCGATCAATCGGAATCATCCGCCCCAAGCATCAACTGATCCCCAGCCGTCAGCTGCCGCAGTTCCCCGCTCACCGCCTTGGGTTCCACAAGCGACTTCGTGCTCTTCGCCCCCGCATCCTCAAACCGCCGCAAGGTAGGCATCATCCGCGTATCGATCGACCCCACCAGCTTGTTGTACCGATCCACACTCTGACGGATCGAATCCCCGAGCTTGCCCGCGTGCTCAAACGCCGTCGCCGCACGATCGTGTAGCTCCTTGCCGAGCTCAAACAACGCCGCCGCCTGCTCACTCAGCGCCTGCTCGCGCCACCCAACCGCCACCGCACGCAGCAGCCCAATCAATGTACTCGGCGATGCCAAAATCACCCCATGCTGCGCCGCATCATCAAGCAGCCCCGGATTCCGCGACAGCGCCGCATCAATAAAGTGATCCCCAGGCACAAACATCACCACAAACTCAGGTGAACGTTCAAACAGCGCCCAGTACTTCTTATCCGCGAGCTTCTTCACCTGCTCGCTCGTGTGCCGCGCAAACCGCTGCATATGCATCTCACGTTCTTCATCATCCGCCGCATTGACCGCCTCGATGTACGCGTTGATGTTCGCCTTCGCATCGACAACGATCACCCGATCATTCGGAAGCGTCACCACCATGTCCGGACGCAGCAGATTCCCGTCCCCATCACGCTCGGAGAACTGCTCATTGAAATCGCAGTAGTCCGTCATCCCCGCGAGCTCCGCAACGCGGCGCAGCTGGATCTCCCCATACCGCCCGCGAATCTCCGGCCGCGACAGCGCCCGAGTCAGCCGCGCCGTTTCTTCCTTCAATGATTCATTCGAAACACTCGACGCCTTCACCCGCTCATCCAGCTGAGTCAGCTGCTCGCGCGTCTTCCCAAGCGTCTCACTGATCGGCTTCACCATCGCCTCGATCGCGAGCTTCCGCTGATCAAGCTCCGCCTGCGACGCCTTGCCCGCCTGCCCGAGCTGCTCGGACAACAGCTTCGTCAGCGCCTCCTGATTCGACTTGAGTGTCCGCGACCCGATCGCCTCGAACGTCTCCTTCAGCTGCGCCTCATTTTTGATCAGCTCCTGCCGCGAGCGCTCCGCCGATTCCAGCCGCTCCCCAAACTGCGCATTGAGCATGCTCAGCTCCGTGATCCGAGCCGTCTGCTGATCGACCTCCGACTCCAGCCCCGAAATCTCACCCCTCGCCGCGCTCAACTCCCCAACCAACCGTTCCCGCTCCGCGCTCGATCCCTCAAGATTCGCCCGCGCCGTCGCCAGCTCCTCCCCGAGCCCCGCCGACTTCACGCGTTCCCTCGAAAGCCCCTGAAAAAGGACAAATACAGCGATCCCAAGCCCGAGAGCCAACAGCCCCACGATGATCAAAGCGATTTCCATGTCAGGAGTATATCAGGGTAGTAACGCAGATGCATCAACTCCTCACGCCGACCCGATCCCATACGCCTCAATAAACAACGACTCCGCCTCCGTCCCCCCCGCGAGCACCAACTCCTGCCCCGCCTTCAAAACCGACGTCGCCGACGGCGTCGCGATCAGCCCCTCCTCCGGATCTCGGATCGCGATAATCGTGCACCCCGTCCGATCCCGGATACCGCACTCGATCAGTGTCTTCCCACCAAGCGATTCAGGCACAGGCCTGCGGAACATTTCTAGCCCCTCCGCTACAGTCGCGATCCGATCACCCGTCAACTGATTGAAGATACTCGATGACCCCATCGACGCATACGAATGCACAAAGTCCGCCCCCGCGCGATGCAGTGTCTCAATGTTCTGCTTGAGCGTCGATCGACAGATCAACTGTGCATCCTGCCTCATCGATCGACAATAGATCGTCAGATATATATTGATGCTGTCATCATGCGATGTAATCAACACCGCCGGCGCCTCCATCAGCCCCGCCTGCTTCAATACCTCAGGATCGGTCGCATCCCCAACAACGATCCGATCACGGAACTCACCCGCCCGACGCGCCCTCTCAGGATCGAGCTCAACCGCTTTCCAATCAACACCCCTTCGAGAAAGCGCCGCCCCGGCCGCCGCCCCGACCTTTCCCCACCCAATAATCAGCACCGGATCCACCGAGACATTGTAAATCACAAACTCCTCGTCGTAGTTCATGAGCTGCTCTTTGGTCCCCGCCATCATCAAAATCGAATACTCTGTCACCACCGTGTCCGCCATCGCAGGTTTGAACTCCCCGCGATCCCACAACCCGATCACATTGACCCCCAGCTCCGCGAGCCGATTCTCCGCAAGCGTCTTCCCAACCAAAGGCGTCTTGTGCGCGTTCGCCTCCGCGATCAGCAAATGATCGATGTTCCCGACAACATGCGTCAACGCATCGCCCCCAACCATCCCGCGCGCCAGCGCCCGCCCCATCAACTCCCCAAGCTGGAACACCTCAGTCGCCCCCGCGTGCCTAAGGATCGTCGTCGTGGTCTTGTTCGTCGAGATCGCGACGATCGGGACCTCCGGCGCCACCTGACGCGCCATGAACGCCACATTGGTATTCGTCACATCATCACTCGTCGCCGCGATCAGCGCCGCCGACTCCGCACGCGCCGCCGTATAAGTCGACACATGATCCAGCGGCCCATACACCACACGGATCCCCATGTCATGCAGATTCGACGCCTCCTCAAAGTCAGGCACAATCAACACGTACCCAATCCCAGACTGCTCCAGCTTCGCGATCAGCTCCTCCGTCACCGCGTCATACTGAATCAGGATCACATGCCCCGAAGTCTCCTCCGCCGCCTTGCGAGGGGTCCGCGCCGCCTCCACCGCATCCACCCATGGCGCATAGAAAAACTGAATGATCGTAAACGGCAGCAACACCAATAAAAACACAATCCCCGTCCCGAGCACGAGCATCGAGAAAAGCCGACCGAGATCGCTCTCAAAGGTAATGTCCCCAAACCCCAGCGTTGACATCACCGTCAGCGTCCAGTAGAACCCCGTCATCCACGAGTGGTGCTGCCCTTCCATCTCCATGATCACATGGAACAGGATGCTGTACACAACAATCAGCCCTGTCAGGACCAATATGAACCGCATCAGCGCCCGCACATTCCGCTGCGTCCGCCGCTCCTGAAAGAACACCATCATCTGTGAAGTACTGAATTTCATGAGCCCATAGCATACGAGATCAAGCCCACTCGCAGGGGCATCCCACACCGAATACCACCGATCTCGTGTCAGGGGTATATCAGGGAGATCCGATCGCAACGACATCCCAAAAATATCAGCACCCAAAAAATGAACAGGCGACACATCGGTGCCGCCCATTCAAGAGGGGGTCAGATTGAAATGAGTACGCCGATCCGATCAGCGCCGTCTGCGTGCCGCGAGCAAGCCCGCCGCTCCAAGCACCATCGCGCTCCCAGGGGTTGGGACCGCGCTCACGCGTGCATCACCAACATCCGCGCCAGTCAGATCGACCGAAGCAAGCCCGTTGTCAAACAGGAACGACGCGAACTCACCAGACACCAGCAGATTCGCCTCGATGGTTAACTGTGAGCTGTCCGCGATGACCAGCGAAGGTGTCTCGATATCAAAGAGGATCGCTTCGATCCCAGTCGTGCTCTCAACAAAGAATCCACTCCGGGAGTCACCTACCCGCCCGGCGTCGAATGCGATCGTGAAGTTCCCGACCTCGACCGTGTCACTGTTGAAGAACACCGAACCCGTGTGCTCGATCGTTCCAGAAAAAGCACTCAATCCCGCGTCGTACGAAAATGTTGTCGGAAGCAGTGGGGCATCCACACTGTTAATCCCGAACGCAACACTCCCAGCGCCCAAATCACCCGGCGCGATCACATCGGGAGAAACCGATGAGAGATCCAAGCTCGCCGCCGCAGAGAGCGTTGCAACATCCAGAAGAACATTCGTCTGTCCTCCTGTCACACCAAAGTCTTCCGCATGAGCAACACTCCCTGCGAGCAAGAGAGTACCAGCGACGCCGGTAGTAGTCTTCAAAATCATGTCCAGTTCCTCCTAAAGAATGGCGCCCGCAATCAGACAATCGATCGCGAGCTGATACAACGAAAAGATCTTTCTATCTCTTTCGTGCGTCCCACGAGGAGCTGAAGATGCTCACGATCGAGTTCGAGCCACCGGGAACGCTCGATGCGAAGCCGTAAAGTTTTTTACCGCACCCCCAGCCATGCTCGGCCCTACTCCCATCCCTCGCCAGATCAAGCCGGTCACGCACCCCTTCCTGCCAACTTGGCACTCCCACGCCCCGATCTGCCCCGTCACGCCGTTTATCGAGTGCAAATTCCGTCAATTACTCCCAAAATCGAATCCCCTGAACCCCCCGAATCGGCACGCTCTTTGCCATACCTCCCCCCAGTATGGTGCGCGATCACACCCATCCCGACCTCTCCACCCCGCCCGGCGTGCCCGGAGGACGTCTCAACCTCCTCCTCTCCCGAGCAGGTTGGCAACCAGACCCCTGGGTAGATCGCCTCCCCAGAATGCTCGAACCGATGGGGATCCAGTCCCACATCGCCCACAACGCCGACGCCGCCCAGCGTGTGATCGACCACAACCCGATCCACATCGCCGTCGTGGACCTCGCGCTCCCGCTCGATGAAGCGATCGGCTCACCCGCCGAAGAATCCGGACCACGCCTGCTCAACCTCCTTTCACGCCTCGCATCACCACCCCCGATCGTGGTCATCAAACGAAACCGAACCGCACGCGACGACATGCGTGAACTCAGCGCCGCCCTCCGCGCCGGAGCGTTCGCCGTCGTCGATCGTCCAAACGCACAGCGAGACCTCGAGTCCCTCCTCGAAGTCCTCCGCCGATGCCTCACCCGTCACTACCAAGGCCGCTGGCCCGGAGCATAACTCGTTACCAAACCCCGCAGCGATGCGGATTCACATAGGACCCAATCTCTGCTGCGAAGGCAGCAGACAGAACAAGCTGCGACGCAGGTCGCGGACTAAGAAAGCAAGGAACAAACAGCCATGGCAACCAAAACCAAATCCAAAGTCGCCGTCCGCCCACTCCACGACAAAATCCTCGTAGAGCGTGACGCCGCACAAACCCAAACCTCCGCAGGCATCTACCTCCCAGAATCCGCCTCGGAAAAACCACAGTTCGCCACCGTCCTCGCCGTAGGTCAGGGAACCATGTCCGACTCAGGTCAGCGTATCCCCCTCGATGTCAAAGTCGGAGACCGCATCATCCTCTCCAAGTGGGGCGGCACCGAACTCAAGCTCGACGGCGAAGAGTACCTCATCATCAACAGCAGCGATGTCCTCGCGATCGTCGACTAACGACCACCCGCTCTCACCGTGACCAGCATGGATCAAATGAATATTGCATCCAGCAGAATCATCCGCCGGTACCACCAATATTGATTCAAATCCAAGCCCACGGCCCACAGGAGCAAGCCAATGCGTCGCACAACAATCATCATCGGAACACTCGCCCTCCTCGCCATCGCCGCAGCGGTCATCGTTGTGGTGTTCAACAAGAGCAAGAGCACCGCTTCACCAGAAGTCGTCGCCGAGCTCAAAGCAGACATGGAGAAAAGGCAGCACCTGATGAACGATCGTGTGATCGAGCTTCTCAAGGACAAATCGGGACAAGACGCGCTCGCCCAGCTCGCCGAGGAGTACGACAAACTCTTCTACAACGGACACAAACGATTCGCATCGATCGGTCCAATGTACTCAGCGTTCCACACCGAGCCACTCGTAGCCCTCACCCTCTTTGAAGGTGAGCAAAGCCTGTCGTTCCCGATCACGTACAACACCCGCCTGCTCAACGCCACCATGGACGACCAGTTCGACATCGAGTTCAAACAGGACTCCGTCATCGTCACACTGGTTTCAGCAGGAGACTCAGCAAGAAGCAACGGCACCCACTCGGTTGAAATCGATTGGCCACGCGGCACACTCGGACCGCACGGCTACTACAACTTCAACACCGGAGAAACGGACCTCAACAAATGAACCAATCCCAACTCCGACAAGCACTCAACGAACTCAACGGCGAACGCAACGCGCACTTCGCCCTCGTTGGAATGCACGAAGCCGCATCCACACTCACCATCGCAAAGGCAATGCTCATCCCAGAAGAAACAGACAAACTCGTCAAAGTCACCGACGGACAATCCGTATACATCATCGAAGCCGAGCGGATCGCATACATCCGCATCGGCCTTTAAACCAATAAGAACAGCGTCCAAACACGGCGCAAGGAGATACAACAATGGCAGCGAAACAAATCGCATTCAACACCGACGCACGCGAGCGCATCCTCAAAGGTGTCCAAAAACTCGCATCCGCAGTCAAAGTCACCCTCGGCCCATCAGGCCGCGTAGTCATCCTCGAAAAATCCTTTGGCGCCCCAACCGTCACCAAAGACGGCGTCTCCGTCGCCAAGGAAATCACACTCGACGACCCATACGAAAACATGGGCGCCCAAATGGTCAAAGAAGTCGCATCCAAAGCTTCCAAAGAAGCAGGCGACGGCACCACCACCGCGACCATCTACGCCGAGTCCATCTTCTCCGAAGGTCTCAAGAACATCACCTCCGGCGCCAACCCAAACCAAATCAAGCGCGGCATCGACATGGCCATCGAAGCCATGATCACCGAGCTCCACTCCATGTCCAAGCCGATCTCCTCCTCCAAGGAAATCGCACAGGTCGGAACCTGCTCCGCAAACCAAGACGCCGAGATCGGCAAGATCATCGCCACCGCGATGGACAAAGTCGGTAAAGACGGCGTCATCACCGTCGAAGAAGGCAAGTCCCTCGAAACCGAAGTCGAACTCGTCGAAGGCATGCAGTTCGACAAGGGATACCTCTCCCCACACTTCGTCACCGACACCGCCACCATGGAAGCCGTCCTCGACAAACCATACATCCTCATCCACGAGAAGAAGATCAGTAATGCCAAGGACATCCTCCCAATCCTGGGTAAGGTCGCCGAGTCGGGATCACAACTCCTGATCATCGCCGAGGATATCGACAGCGAAGCACTCGCCACCCTCGTCGTCAACAAACTCCGTGGCACATTGAAGGTCGTCGCCGTCAAAGCCCCAGGGTTTGGCGATCGCCGCGCCGAAATGCTCCAGGACATCGCCACCCTCACCGGCGGCACCGCGATCATGGAACAGCTCGGCATCGACATCGAGAAACTCGAACTCTCCGAACTCGGACGCGCCAAGAAGATCACCATCTCCAAAGACAACACCATCATCGTCGAAGGTGCAGGTAGTGGCAGCGACATCAAGGGCCGCATCGACATGATCCGCGCCCAGATCGAAGCATCCTCCTCCGACTACGACCGCGAGAAGCTCGAAGAGCGCCTCGCCAAGCTCGCCGGAGGCGTAGCACAAGTCAATGTCGGCGCAGCAACCGAAGTCGAAATGACCGAGAAGAAAGCACGCGTCGAAGACGCCCTCCACGCCTGCCGTGCAGCGGTTGAAGAAGGCATCCTCCCAGGTGGTGGCACCGCAGTCCTTCGCGCTCGCCGCGCACTCACCGCGATCCGCAAGAAAGCTTCCGGCGACGAACGCATCGGCATCGACATCGTCTCCCGCGCAGTCGCCGCACCGGTAAAGCAGATCGCCAAAAACTGCGGCCTCGACGGCTCCGTCATCGCGAGCAAGGTCGAAGAATCCGACGACAACACCTTCGGATACAACGCCCTCACCCACGAATACGGCGACCTCGTCGCCATGGGCGTCATCGTCCCAACCAAGGTCGAACGCGTCGCCCTCCAGAATGCAGCTTCAATCGCAGGCCTCCTCCTGACCACCGAAGCCGCAATCGTCGAAATCAAAGACAAACCCGTAGGCGCCGGCCACTCGGGCGAGGACTTTGATTACTAAAATTTGACCGGATTATGTTCGGTTAATACAATATTACGGAGATGCGAGCGAAAGCCCTTATCTCCGCTTACATGATTTGTAATGAGCGAGTCTCTTCACAGAAGAGCAATCACGCACGATTCGTACACATAAGGGACGCTTCCTGATAGGGAGCGTCCCTCTTCTATTGAAAGGAAACAGACAATGGCAAAAGTGAAGATGAAACTTGAACTAACCGGTTTCAAATTGGAAATCGAAGGCGAACGGGAAGATATTCCGATGATCGCTGAAAATCTAAATCAGCAGTTTGCTGGATTCATGGAGCCAGCTGCAAACATTGCAGATGGCTCAACACCTGTCAAGAATGTGCCCAATCAGGCTGCTAGCACTGAATCCAAACCCGCAACAAAGAAAAAAGCTTCCAGAAAAAAGAGTAATTCGAGTAGCAAGCCAAAAGCTTCCAATGTTGAGTTGCCATCATTTCGACATGATGTTGAAAAGTACGGCAATCCTGAACAGGAATGGGGTGGGATCGATAAGGCGATCTGGATGCTGTATGTATGCAAAGAGCAGCTTGATATGAAAGAAATGAGCAGCATTGAAATTGCTGCAATGTTCGATCGCCATTTCCGTGAGGCAAAAGCCCCAGATGCATCACATCTTTCAACTTACCTGTCGCGAGCCAAATCAAGGAAGCCTGCTCCGGTTGCAGCAGACAATAATCATGATTCGACCAAGTGGTATTTAACTCAACAAGGCATAGCTGACGCTCAACAATTGATTTCTGATGTGACACAGTCGGTGTAAAGAGGTGCAAATTTTGGATATTGCAGACTCAGTACTCGCATCAATTCCTTCAGGATTGCGGGATGAATTGCTACATCATTACCGAGTAATTTGTTCAAGTTACGCTGAAGGTAGGTGGGAACCCGCAGAGTTGAATGGTGGCAAATTTTGTGAAGTTGTTTATACGATTGCCAAGGGGTATTTGGATGGGTCATATCCTGATGCAGCTTCTAAGCCGGCGGATTTCAAAAAATCATGCCAGCAACTTGAGCAAGTATCAAAAGATGAAAATCGTATCGGTGATCGGAGTGTCCGTGTTTTAATTCCTAGGCAATTAGTTGCCCTTTATGAAATTCGAAACAATCGTGGTGTAGGGCATGTTGGCGGGGATGTTAGCCCGAATGCAATGGACTCTTCGTTTGTGTTGGCTTCGACTTCTTGGGTGATGGCGGAACTGGTGCGAATATTCCATGGGATAGAGCCTGCTGAAGCACAAGGGATTGTTGATTCACTTGTACAAAGGCGTTTGCCTTTGGTATGGGAAGGAGAAGATGTTCGCCGCGTGCTTGACCATAAGATGACCACAGATGAGCAAACTTTAGTGCTCTTGTATAGTGTTAGTGGTTGGTGCGATGTGATCGATTTGGTAAAATGCATCGAATATAGCAACGCATCGGTGTACAGGAAACAACGACTGAAACCAATGCATAAGCGTCGACTGATTGAGTTTGATGAAACATCTGATAGAGTACAAATATTGCCACCTGGTGTTAACAGGGTAGAAGAAGAAATTCTTGCTGATCAAGGATTTTAGGTGATATCGGATGAAAGGTGTCTTGCGAACGCGCAGCTTGAGCGGACCTCTTGTTTACCCCTATCCTCCCAAATCCCACCCCCAACTGGTCCAAATTCCGCCCATTCCCCGACCCCCGCAAGCACGGCATCCTCCGCGCCCCCCCCCCTCGGCCTAGGCGTCTACGACCTCCGCTGAATCTCCAACTGGAACCCGCCCTTTTCTACATCTATATCCGAATAGTCATGAGTGCCAAGTTCTATAGATTTGCTGGTTGCGTAAGTTATTCACAAAACATTAGATAAATCGAAAATATAGTGTTGACAAAGTCGGGAAAATCCGATATAATAGAATAAGTTTATCAGTCAAACCGAAACCCTTTCGGCGTAAGGGTCTATATGGGCTGGCGCTCGTATACTGACGATGGTAGGCCGGACTGTGAATTCAATTTTAAACTGCGTCAAAAGGAGGGTCATTAAGAAAGTCAGAAAAAGTAAAGGAGTGTTCAAGATGAACAGAAACAGTAATATTAAAGATTTGGTATTTGTTTTAATTTGTTACGCCGTCGCCATGAGCACTAGCGCCGACCCCATTTCGCGGTTTAACCGCCTGATGAGCCAATGAAATTTTGGCGAAAAATGGGACCATTTACATTTGTCTAGTGCTACAAGCCGGGTGCCCTGCTTACGCGCAGCTTAAGCAGGTCTTCAAAAGAGGGGTTGCAGGGGAAACCTCCCCTGCACTCGCAAACCCATCCCCAACCAAAAGCAACATCCGTGCGCATTCCCGCGCGCACCGACCACATCTGTGCGCAATCCACCCTCCCAAACCCAACCAATCCAAGACGCCGCAAACCCACCCCGCCTTCAATTCCACATGAACACGACATGTGAACCAACCGACCGATCAATCAACCAGCTCACCAACGACCTCCTCGAAGACCTCCAAAACCCCACCCTAGGCCCACTCGAACTCTGCCAACTCCACAACCTCACTCTCCCAGAGCTCGCCGCCATCCTCGAATCCGAAAGCTACCAACGCGCCGTCGAGTGCATCGAGCGCATCACCATCGCCCGCGACAAACTCCTCGACCCCCAATCCAAATCCCTCGCCAAAGCCCGCCTCACCGACCTCTTAAAGACCTACCCCGAAACCGAGTCCCAACAAGAAACCCAACGCAAAGCCGCCACCACCCTCCTCAGAAACACAACTCTCCTCCCCCAGGCTTCTGGGGGAGGTGTCGCACAGCGACGGAGGGGGTCTTCCTCTCGGGTGCCACGGCTTGACCGTCCTCGGCAAGCCGAGTCTTCAGAGGGGTTGCAGGGGACCCCTCCCCTGCACACGCGCACATCATCCTCCCCATCCCTAAGCCTACCGTTGAACACATGGCAAGAAAGGCAAAGCCAGAAAGAGCATTCCGCCCCTGGGCAATCTCAATGTGCATCGCGGCGATGCACTGGGGTAATCTCTTGGGTATGCTCGGCCATCTCACGATCCACGATGGACAGCTCCTGATTTCAACGAAAAGGTATGGCAAGATTGCATACCTGGAGATGCCCACAGGACACACGATTTCCTATGCAATACTCTCCGTCATCGGCTGGCTAAGCATCCCAGTGATGCTGGTGAGTTTGATCTACATCCGTGATATGTTCGATTACAAGGATGAGCGCTTCAAGAAGTACGCAGGGATTGCATTCCTCTGTACTCTCGGAGCATTCATCCTCGGCATCCTCATCGGCAACTTCTTCAAAGAGTACACGACGCTCTACACACCATAAACCCAGCGAGTGTCCCAACCCAAACACCACCAAAGCGTGCACGATCAATCACCCGCTATCATCGCTCGTGCAAAAAACTGATCCAACACCAAACTCTGGGACCAATCCAAAGACTGATCCAAAGGACCCGCGCCGTCACGACCTCGATGCGCTCCGCGCTTTCGCGATGGTGCTGGGAATCGTCCTCCACGGCGCGCTCGCATACACCCAGTTGCCATGGATCGTCCAAGACTCGCAGAAGTGGGTGGGATTCGATCACACATTCGAGTTCATTCACACTTTCCGGATGCCCGTGTTCTTCCTGCTCTCAGGATTCTTCACAGCGATGCTCTGGCGCCGCCGAGGCACACTCGGACTTGTTTGGCACCGCTCCAAACGAATCCTCCTCCCGCTGCTCGTCAGCGCCGCGACCATCATCCCCGCAACCATGTGGTCCATCCAGTACGCCAACCGAGTGCAAAGCAGCGTAGAAGTCGAGCAAGCAGAAGAAACCGAAGTGCTCGACATCTGGCGCGCCGCCGCAGAAGGCAGCCAAACCCAACTCCGCGCACGAATCGACGAAGGCGTCGACATCAACGCCACAGACCCCAACTTCCGCACCACCCCGCTGGGATACGCCGTCCTCTACGGACAAACCGATATTGTGGAAGAGCTCCTTAGCGCCGGCGCCGAACCAAGCACCCAATACGGCGACGGCGGCACCGCACTCCACACCGCGATGTTCCTCGGACGAACCGAGATCACATCTATCCTACTCGATGCCGGCGCCGACTTCGAAGTCAAAAACATCCGCGGCGAGACCCCCACAAACTCGCTGACTGTCAATGAACAGATCACGATGATGATCACCGGCTTCCTCCAACTCGAAGACACCTTCGAATCCATCCAAAGCGGCCGCGATGAAATTCGCACACTCCTCGAAGAGCGAGGCAAACCAGTTGTAGCCCCAACCCCAAGCGAGCGTTTGCGTAATCTCGTCAACCTACTGATCGCGATCCCAGTCTTCTATCACCTCTGGTTCCTGTGGCATTTATGCTGGTTTGTGGTCGCGTTTGTCGTGCTTGCTGTGATCACAAAGCCGCTCTCAAAGTTGAGACGACTCGCATTCCTGACGGCGTTCCCTTGTTGTCTGCTGTATCTTGTTCCATTGACCATGTGGACCCAATCATTCATGGATCTCCGGATGGGACCGGATACCGCGATTGGTTTGATCCCTGCGCCGCATGTGCTTGCTCACTACGCCGTGTTCTACTTCTTTGGATCGGTGCTCTACAGCACTTTCGGCTCATCACTCCGGGTCGGGTGGTGGGGAATCCCGTCACTCATCATCGCGGTCGTGCTCTATCCTGTAGCGCTTTCGATAGACGAATCGGGTACAAACGAACAAGGCTTTTTTAACCTGTTCACATTGATTCAATCAGCGATGGTTTGGCTGACGATCTACGGCCTCATTGGCTTCTTCGAAATCGCCGCGAACGCAGAGAAGCGATGGATCCGCTTCCTTTCAGATTCATCATATTGGCTCTATCTCGCGCACCTGCCGCTCATTGTCGTTGTGCAAGTGTGGGTGCTCAACTGGGACGCGCCATCTTGGATGAAGTTTGCGGTCGTCACTTCGTCGGTCTTTGTTGTGCTGATCGTGAGCTACCGATATCTCGTGCGTTATACACCCATCGGGACGATGCTCAACGGCAAGCGATTACGACGCACGATTGAGCAGAGAGAATCTTTGGAATAAGTTTCACACTCACCGCCCCAAAATCTTCTCCATTTTCCGCCCTCGCGCCAGTTCATTGATCAGCTTCTCCATCTGCTGACACTTTGACTTCACACAAAAACAAAAATGCGGGCTTGCGGCGAGAGTACCTGCAAGCCCGCGATAATCTGTGATTAAAGAGTTATGGAATCCAGGTCATCACCTGATTTACGGTTGAACTCGGCTCTCGATGATAGATGTAACCTGAGATCTGTTGATCTTGTGCAATTTGCTCAAGCAAATCAACAATCCGCTGTTTGCGCTTCATCGCGCGTTTGGTTTCCTTCATGGTTTTACGCTGGGGAAACAGAATTTCCACATACGCTTCAGGAAACTCATCGCCTTCTCGGATTGGTTTCTCGCCGGAAACGAGAGCCCATCCGAATGGCAGCTTCCGGATGATTTCTTTGAGCACCGGGCCAAACTGACCGCTCACCGAGCAAGTGAAGGTCAGTCCGATGACTTCACAGTCCAACCCTGTTAGGAGCGGAGCTTCATGCCTTGGTAGTGGATAGATGCAGTTGATTGAGTTGATATACGGCTTCAGGGTAGGCCACGGATCATGAGCAAGTAGACGAGCTTTGCGGAGCGGGAACATGGCCCCAAACTCAACATGATACTTTCGGCCAAATGGAAGCAGGTGAATTCGGTGCAGCTTTGGGAGAGCGTTGTTGTATCCAGGCGACAGGTAATTGACCATTTCAAGGAGTCGTTGGACATCTTTGACTGTCCCTGCTGCTTGCCCGACGAGCAAAGCGGTGTCGTGCGGATCTTCATCTTCAAAGCCAGTCCCAATGTGCGTTGGCGGCTGGAGTGGGATTAACCCGTTGATGATGTCTGTGAGAGAGAATGGACTGTTCAGGTTGTTTGGTTTGTTAGATTTCATTTCTTTGAACTCCAGAATGCGGTGACGGGTGATAAGCGCGAGATACGGCAAGGTGAACGGAGGTGATGGACTCTGCCCATCGTGATTTGACTTCGGACTTGTGCATTGGATTCTCCTAACATGGGGTTGTAACGAACTGCACATCGGTGCAAGTTTTCTGTAACAAAGTACGCAAGGTCCTTATAATTAGTTCCCTATTGGCCGTTGCGGCTGATCGCACCGACTTCCAACAATCCACTCGGTGATCACTAACATGCCATTTCTGTTCAGTTTTTTGCCATTATTAGGATTGTGTGTATGCGAATAAAAACCTCCAAAGAGGCTCGTTGCATGTCCAAAATGTCACAATCAGAGGAGAGATAATTTCTTCTGCGCCCACTTCACTCCCGCAAAATTTTCTCCATCTTTCGCCCCCGCGCCAGTTCATCGATTAGCTTTTCCATTTGCCGACACTTCTTCGTCAGCGGCGTCTCGATCTCCTCGATCCGATACCCACACACCACTCCTGTGATGAGCTTTGCTTTGGGATTCATCTTCGCGCGCTTGAAGAACTCCTTAAACGTCACTTCCTCATCAATCAAATCCTGGATCTCCTGCGGCTCAAAACCAGTCAACCAACCAATGACCTCATCGAGTTCCTCTTCGGTCCGCCCGTTCTTGATCAGCCGATCCAGATACAGCGGATAGATTTTCCCAAAGATCATCTCTGCGATCCGCTTGTCATGTTCAGGTGTCGTTGACGGCATTGTTCATCTCCAGAGTTCGTAGTTTGAGTCAGTATACAAGAAACCCCCGCATCTCAGCAGGGGCTCTCTCTTGGGTCAGTTATTCATATAACTAGGTAATAGCAAGTTCAATTATCGGCGGCGCCCTGTCGCGACGAGTCCACCCAAACCAAGCAAGGCGAGCACACTCGGAGTTGGGACTGGACGATACTCCCAAGTATGGAAGAAGCTCTGGATCGCGGCCCCTGTTGTGGTGACATCGATCGTGTACACCGTTCCAGCGGTCAGATCGATCGGACCGCTTTCCCAAGGGGATGTCCCGATCATGTCGGCGTCGTTGTCATCGCTGAGCAGATCGCCGTCGTCGAGCAGTTGGAAGGTCGGATTCCCAAGGATGAATCCCTGATCTCCGATCGTGTACGACAACAATGTGACATCGGTATCGACGGTGAACTCGAAGCTGAGTGTGCTGCCGCCGCCTCCGCCGAAGTGCAAGCCGTGGGTATCGGAGACGAGGAAGCGATCCGCGCCGACGAGGTTGTTGGTCGGCATGAATGCCCAGATCACGCCGTCGCTGCCTGTGAGTGTCATCTCGGAATCGGTGATGAATCCATCCATGTTGGTATCGATGGTCATCGGATCGACTCGGAAATCGACCACTTCTGCTGCAGCGGTCATGCTGAGCAGTGCGATGCTCAGTCCAATCGTTGTATTTCGCATGTTGTGTCCCTCCACGAGAGTTCATAGACCTAGCCCTCCCCCCAAAAGAGAGGGTTTTGCTCTCAAATGTAGCACAAGCTCCTATAACAGCCAAGAAAATCACAGGGATTTTCCCTAGTTCTGATTTGAAATCAGTTGGGTATTCTGGTACTCTCGGCTTTGCAGCGCAGAGGGGCAGAGCTGCAGTTACCCAATCGTCGTGGATTGGACACCACAAATCGGGTCTCAGAGAAACCGGAGATCGCTATGCGCACACCAATCATCACCACCGCTCTTGCCATCCTCGCATCGTCGGCATCGGCACAGTCCTTCAACATCGAGTGGGGCACCCCTGATACCGCTCCGCCCCCAACCTACGCCGGTGTCGGACTCGCCGGGGTATGGAACACCTTTGACTCGATGCCCAACTTCCAGCAGTTGAATCTTGTTGGACTCGACGGCAATCCGATCAACGCGACGATCATGAACATCGGGTTTGATGTCATCGAATCCCACGACAATCCATCAACCTTCGGAGACAATGAGGCGCTCCTTGACGATTGCTTTACCTCTTTCAATGACCCGATCGATGGGTGTTTGTTTATCTCGAATATGGAGCCGGGGGAGTACACGGTGATCATGTACGCTGTGGCGCCGGATGATGACTCGCTGCTGAGCCGACTGCGGATTGATCAGAATACGGAAGACCCTGAACTTGTTGGGGGTCAATGGGTCGGACAACACATTGATGGCATGTCCTATATGTCACAGACCGCGACGGTCGGTCCCGGCGGCGATCTTGATATGCACTCCGGACTCCCTGGTGCCAATATCCGCTCGGTCCTCAATGGCATGCAGATCATCGCTCATGCTGACCTCTGTCAGCCGGACTTCACGGGAGAGGGTGACCTGAACTTCCTTGATGTGAGTGCATTCCTCAGTGCCTTTGCGAATCAAGACGCGTCCGCGGACTTCACTGGAGAAGGGCAGTTTAACTTCCTCGATGTTTCCGCATTCCTCGCGGCGTTCGCGAAGGGTTGTCCCTGATCAGGATTCCACATCCGGCACCACGATCCGCAACAGATAGTCGTACAGTTTCTGCTTGCGATCATCATCCAGTAAACGATAGATCTCGTGCATCGCGTCGCGTCGTTGCTGCGGACTTGCTTCCAAGCGGGTCGCTTTGATGTGCTTGATGATGACCGAACGGATCGCTTCCCGTTGCTCTTCCGTGGGTTCAACCGCTGAGTAGATCACCTCCAGCGCATCGCGATAGCGTTTGAGTGAGATGTCGTACGCTTCGACGAGTTCGCGTTGAAAGAGTCGGGCCGCGAGTCGATTTCGTGTTTGGTTTCGGACGCGATCGTTGATCTTTGTTTCACGATTCCGGAGTGTCCAATCGATCCATGCGTCCCAGTATTCCTCGAGCACACTGGTGTACATTGTGCGTTGTGCATCGTTGAGCAGCTCGATCAGGTGCTGCGAGAGTGGCTCGTGTGTCCCTTGATCGAACTGTTCGTGGAACTGTGACTGGATTTCTCGTGCTCGCTTTTGATTGCCGTCTCTCATCGCGTCGGTGGATTCGCGCATGAGGTCAATCTCGTCGACGAGCAGCAATGAGAGTTCGATCGTGCGATCGAGGGCGATCTTTCGTGCGTGCTCGTTGAGCTGCGGATCATCGGTGATCGCTGCGAACGCGGCGATCTCTGGTCGTCCCTCAACTTGTTGGAACTCTCCGGACATGGATTGGTGGACGATGGTGGGGTGCTGCTTTGAGTTGAGGTCTGGGCCTTTGAGTACATCGTCCTGTGCAGTGGTGGGGGACGCGATGGTGGCGATGATCGTGCACAGCAGGAGGTAGAGGGTGGACTGGGTGCAATTCGGAGTGTACATACACGAGTGTACTCGATTGGGTAATCAATGAGCACAAAAAATAGACGACCCCACGGAGGGGCCGCCTGTGTACAGAGCGTGTTACTCGATGTTTAGATTACGGGCATCCAGCTGCGAATGCGGCGAGGAACTCGGAGACATCGAGGAAGTTGAGTGAGCCTTCTCCTGTGAAGTCTGCTGCGAGATCTCCTGCACCGAAGAGTGCGAGGAACTCAGAGACATCGAGGAAGTTGAGGTCGCCTTCACCTGTGAGGTCTGCAGGGCATGCGTCGTCTACACAGTCGAGCTTGGCGAGCATGACGGCATCAACACCTGCTTCGACGACATCCTGGGTGCCGTTGTCCGATGCGGTGAAGCGGATCTGGAACTGGCTGTTGGAATCGAAACCAGGGATTTCGCTCAATGCGAACTGTTTCTCGATCCAGCCGCCTTGGGTTTCAGGACCGGCAGGTCCGACGGACTCGAGAACTGTCCATGACCCACCTGCGTTGTCTGAGATTTCAACAACAAAGCTGTCGTCTTGTGTGGATCCGAGTGTGTTGTCATACCAGCGAGCGTAGCTGAGAATGGTTGTGTCACCCGTTGCATCCATGACTGGCGATGTCAGGATGGTTGAGCCGTTGTCAACATCATTGTTGTCGTTTGGTCCACCATTGCCGGTGACATAGCAGAGTCCCGATCCGTCCTGATCGTTTGCGGGTTCGCCACGCGTTCCAGCTCCTGTTGGAGTGGCTCGTTCCCAGCGGCCTGTGCCGTTGGTGGTGACATCACCTGAAATGGTCCAGCCCATATTGGTCTGGAAGTTGTCATCAAACGCGATGACTGCTGGGCTGAAGGAAGCACGGGTAAGGTAGAATCCATCGGCAGGAGCGCCGATCGGGGAGTTCTGTGTTGCTCCACCTGTCGTGTCCGCGGTGATGTAGTAGTTGACTTCATCACCACAGGTTGCGCCTGGGAATGCGGCTTCGAACTGATTTCCAGAAACTTGTGACATCGCGACCGGCATGTATCCGGATCCGGTGTCGACCATGAGGGTTGCGGTGGATGGATCAAGCGTTCCTGCGACATTATCGATGTTGACATTGATCATCGTTCCGCCGTTCGGATCAACGACTTCTGGCAAACCGATTGGGAAGGAGATTGCGAGTGCGTTGATTGGTGGGGCGTCCATGTTCTTGGCGCCGAACCCTGCAGCGATCTGGTTGTAGTGTGGGGTGCCGTTGCCGATGTCCGCATCGTCGTCATCGAGTGTGAGCCAATCGATGGTGATTGATGGGTTGATATTGGTCCCGGTGTGGACGAGCACGGAGTTGACTGCGAGGAACATGAGAATGTCTTGGTAGTCGGAGATGCCGTCGAGGACCATCTCGTTGCGGGTTTCCCAGACACATCCTGAGAGGAGTCCTGCACACGCGTGTCCGTCTGTTTCACATGGGTACGAGAGTGAGTTTTCGGCGTTGCGGAGTGAAGAGCCGCAGGAACCAAAGAATCCGAGTCCTAGGCGGTTGTCGTCGAGGATGATGGTGCTCATGGTGTCACCAAATCCTTCGCCGTACTGACCTTGGCCTGAACCACCACGATTGACGATGTGGTGTCCGTATTCGTGGTGAACGACGGAGGACCATGCGGTGTTTGGGTTGGAGGATCCTGAGAGGCAGAAGTTGATCGACTGCTCGCTCGGGCTGTACCACGCGTTGCCTGGGCAGAATCCATCGGTGCGGTTGACGGTGACATTCATCTGGAAGTCGGTGCCTGGGTACGAAGGGTTTGCGGCGACGGTCCAGTCGTAGACGCGGTTGGATTCGATGAACGCGTTGACCTGTGCGCGGATGTTTTCTGAGTTGTTCAGGGAGTTGAACTGAAGGTTCGCTGGACCTGGAGGGGTGACATTCGCTGAAACCGATTGCACTGAACCAAGGAAGTCGATGATCTCGAAGTGTGGTCCTTGGAGGTTGGAGTTGATCGAGATGCTTCCTGAACCGCTGTTTGTGAGTACGAAGTCGCCGTTCTCATCGGTGACTGCGACGCCGTCAGGTCCGTTGACATACAGATCTGAGATCGGATTCGGGACTTCTGTTTCACAGATGTCGGCGCCAGGGCCTGTCGAGGAGATGCCTTGGACATTGCCTGTGACATCGACGGTGCAGATGAGGCTCTCTGTGTAGAGGATTTCGCCGGTCGCGGCGTCGGTGACGACGAGGTGCTCTTGGAATCCGTCAACGATGACATACGAGATGTCTGCGAGGACTGGCGCGTGTGGCGCTGCGTCGAATCCGGCGTAGACCATACGCTCGGTGGATTGGAGCACGACTGGTTTCTTGTATTGTGCTTGTGCTGCATCGAGGATGCGGGCGTGGTTGATGCGTGTGTTCTTGAGTTGCTGATCAACAGTGAAGTTGGTCAGGTCGTGGAGCTCGGAGGACGCTAGGACGAGGGGGTTGTTTTGTTCGTTGCGTGTGAGGAGAACGAGCTTTGAGCGGAAGACGGGGAGGCCGTCTTTGATTTGCTGGTAGTAGTGTCCGGTGAACTTGTAGGTATCGAAGTCAGGCTCGTATCCGATTTGTTGTGTGTGGCGTGCGTCTTCGAATGGGCCTTCGGCGACGATTTCATCGCGTGCGACGCCCCACATGTTGACATGCTGATCGAGGAAGCGCTGTGCGGAGATGGCGCCGGTTTGTCCTTGGCTGAATGCTTTGCCGTAGACGCGACCGATGGTGCCGTTTTCGCGCATCGCGAAGTGAGAGCGCTGATTGAGAGCTTTGAAGCTGGAGATCGCTTGAACTTTATTGATCGACGCGGGTTGTCCAGCGGCGTTTGCGAAGTCGGTGTTCGATGCCGGTGCTTGTGCGACCGGCATCGATGTGATGGCGGCGCAGGCGACGCCGAGGGTGAAGATTGAGAAACCTTTGCTGCTCATTGGTTGGTTCTTTCTTTTGTTTGGCTCGGAGCGAGACTGATCAGATTTGTGGTCACTGGATCGACGACAGGACGCATATAGATGATGCGTCGCTCATGATCCGGTGGTGAACCGGCGAACTGATTGTCTCGTCCATTCGGTGAGACCCGAGATATGGGCCAGAGAACTGGAAAACAACGCGATACCCCCGCGTGGGTCTTTTTTACTGGATCACAGGAGGGGTGTCAAGTGGATTCGCCCTTGTTTGGGGCATTTACGGTTGTGCACCGTTCGATTGGTTATCGGAAGTCGGTTCTCGGTCTAGGTTTCGGTTGAGACACCAGAATCCGGCGCAGATGGTCCCGATCGTGTTGCTGACGAGATCCCATCCGGTGTTGGTGTATCCGCCGACATTGGTTTCGGTGATCCGGGTCGCGATGAACTCGATGACCTCGTTCAGAGCGCCGAGTCCCATTCCCATGATCGCGGCGATGATCGAGAGGGTGACGGATCGACGAACCCCCAAGAGGGCGCGGACGGCTTCCCAGCATGCGACGGTGGCGCTGAAGAATCCGAAGGCGTGGATGATCTGGTCGTAGCGGGGGAGGTCGGGGCGGAGTCGGAAGGAGTACAGGACGGCGGACCCTTCATCGGGTACGAACTCAGGGCTGACTGGGACTGTACCTCCGATCATGTGGAGGAATCCCCAGATGGTCAGCAACCAGAGCGCGGTTCTGGTGAAGGTGACGCGTCTGTGGAGTTCAACGAGGATGTAGATGATGAGGAGGAGGGTGAAGCCGTAGAAGAGGAACTCGTGGTTGCCTTGGTTGATGGCCATGAATGTGGTGATGGACATGAATGCGATGACAAAGAGCGTGAGTGCTCTTGGGACTGGTGGTATGGGTTTTTTGTCCTTAGGCATAGGTCTCATGGTACAAGATTTGGTGGGGTGGGTGAGTTGCTATGATGGGGTATGACCAATGAGCATCCTGATCCGGTTGTCGTCGCTCGGTATCCAACAGAGTTTGAAGCGTCCTTGACGCGGAATATGCTCAATGAAGCGGGGATCCCTTCTGAGCTTGTCGGTGGGATGACGGCGGGCTTTCGTGCGGAGACGCCTGGGATGGTGGAGGTGCTTGTTCCCGGTCAGTTTGCTGAGGAAGCGAAGCTGCTGATTGAGGAGCAAGAAGAGGGGGAATCTGATGTCGCTGATGGTGGGCTTGAAGGAAACCACGAGTAGACGACCTCCAAATGCGGGTGTGATCGGGTGGTTTGTGGTTGGCGCCGTACTGATTTGCGTGCATAATGCTCAGAGGGATCCGTGATCAAGAGGGATCGGATGACAACGCCTGTTTAGGCGGGAGAGGTCAGTAGATGGCTATTCAGACGCTTCGGGCTGCGACATTGATCGCGGCATCTGTATCGACACTCGCGCACGCTCAGGTTCTTGAGTATCCGGAGGGGGCAGAGATTCCTCGTTCGATGACCGAGGCGGAAGCGGAGTACACTCGGCTCAATCCGATCCAAGCGGTCCAATCTCGTGGTGTGGCTCCTTCGGCGCTTGTGCGCACTCCCGGCGAGTATGAACCTGCCGAGGGGATCATCATGGCATGGGAGGGTTCGAATGCTTGGAAGAGTATCCTCGCTCAGATGACGCGTGAGATCACGACGACGGGTGAAGCGAAGGCGTTCATCTTTGTCGATACTGCTTCAGAGTTGACGACGGCATCGAACCAGGTTGCGGCTCAGGGCGCGGATATGTCGCGCGTGCAGTTTGAGATCAAGCGCACCGACACGATCTGGGCGCGTGATTATGGTCCTCGGTACATCTTCCTTGGTTCGCAGGCAGACGGGACTGGGGGCGTGCGTGCGATGGTTGATCACACGTACAACCGTCCTCGTCCTAATGACAACTCGCTTCCTTCGTACTGGGCGAATGAACGGGATGAGCCGTATTTCTTGATCCCGCTTGTGCATGGTGGTGGGAACTATCACCTCGAGACTGGTAATCCGGCGGGTGTTGGTCACGCGACGCGGTTGATTAACAATGAGAATCCTGGATTGACTGAGGCGCAGATCATCCAGCTTTGGAGTGAGTACCAGAATCTGACGACGACGATGTACACGCCGTATCCGGCGTCTGTGGATAGCACGCAGCACATTGATATGTGGATGATCATGCTTGCTGATGACAAGGTCATGATCTCTGAATGGGTCAATGAACCGAGCGCATCTTGGGCGATCACTTCGGATAACGCGGCCGCGGACTTTGCGGCTCGTGGATTTGAGGTGTATCGCGTGCCGGCGGTTCGATCGGGCGGGACGCACTATACCTTTACCAATGCGGTGATCTGTAATGATCTGGTGTTGGTGCCTCTGTATACCAACGGCACAGCGGGACAGTTTAATGATGATGCACTCGCGGTGTGGGAATCGGCGTATCCGGACAAGACGATCGTGCAGATCAACTGTCAGTCGCTGGTGACGGCGGCGGGTGTGATGCACTGCATTGTCAAGCATGTGCCTGGTCCGGCCAATGGTGAGGCGCCGGGGGTGTACATGACGAGTCAGAACGACAGCCCGACGATTGATCCGGGTGAACTGGTGCAGACGACCTGGTTGTTTGATTCGCCGGATGGTGTGACTACGGCGGATCTGCTGCTGTCGACTGATGGAGGGGCGACATTCCCGACGAGTCTTGGTGCAGGGTTTGATGCGTCCACTGGCTCGTTCGCGTGGAATGCGCCTGATGTTGGGACGAGTGATGCTCGCTTGCGATTGGTGATCCGTGATGGCGATGGGAACGAGTCGTTCGATGATTCTGATCTGTCGTTTACGATCACTGGGACCTCGTGTGCACCGGATCTGACGGGTGATGGGAACCTGAACTTCCTTGATGTCAGCGCGTTCCTCGCGGCGTTCGGAGATATGGATCCGGTTGCGGACTTTACGGGTGATGGCTCGTTTAACTTCTTGGATGTGAGCACATTCCTCAGCGCGTTCAGCGCTGGTTGTCCTTGATTCGGATTGGTTGAATGTTGCGTGTCTAGAATCGCCTTTCTTTGCAATGGAGAATCGACATGCACATGCGTCCGCTTGGTCAGTCTGGTATTGAAGCGTCCACGGTTGCGATCGGGACATGGGTGATGGGCGGCTGGATGTGGGGGGGCGCCGATGAGAACGATTCGATCCGCGCGGTGCACGCGGCGCTCGATGCGGGAATCAACCTGCTCGACACGGCTCCGATCTATGGGTTCGGACATTCCGAGTCGGTGGTGGGCAAGGCGATCAAGGATCGGCGCGACAAGGTCGTGATCGCGACCAAGTGCGCGATGGTGATCAACGCGCCGGGGGGGCGGAGCGTCGGTCGATCGACGGCGGCGGGTCCGAGCGAGCATGGACACCTCGAGATCAAGATCTGGAACAATCCGGAGTCGATCCGCAACGAGGTGGAGCTTTCCCTGAAGCGACTGGGCACGGACTACATCGATCTGTACCAGACACACTGGCAGGAAGAGGAGACCCCGATTGAGGACACGATGGGGGCGCTGGTGAAGCTCAAAGAGGAAGGCAAGATCCGTGCGATCGGGGTGTGTAACGCGACGCCGGAGATTATGGAACGGTACCGCTCGGTGGGGCCGCTGGATTCGGATCAGGAGCAGTACTCGATGATCCATCGCAAGATGGAGGGTGGGACGTTCCAAGGGGAGGACGGGCTTCCCGATCAGTTGGGGTACTGCAAGGAGAATGATGTTGCGGTGCTCGCGTACTCGCCGTTGGTGCTTGGGCTGCTGACTGGGAAGGTCGGTCCTGAGCGCGAGTTCCCCAAGTCGGACCTGCGGAGCTCGCAGAAGCGGTTCAGCAAGGCGAATCGTCAGAAGGTGGCGGACCTGCTCAAGCAGTTCGAACCGATCGCGGATAAGCACGGGTGCAGCATGGCGCAGCTGGTGATCGCGTGGACGGTGCATCAGCCTGGTCTGACGCATGCGCTGGTGGGGGCGCGGACGAGCGAGCAGGCGATCGAGAACGCGGGTGCGGGGAAGATCACGCTCGATGATGAAGACCTGAAACTTATGAATACCTTGGTTCGCAGTGATGCGACGGAGCTGGACATGTCGTGATGCATTTCGGCAGGCACCACAAACCTGAACAGCTTCGTGCTGATCCGCATCCGACTGCGCGTTTGATGACGCTCGATGACATCGGCGCGTTCACGGCTTTGCGTAAGGAGATGCTGCATGATTCGCCTTGGGCGTTTGCGGCTTCTCCGGAGGATGATCTTGCGTCACATCCGGAAGCGGTGAAGTTGTGGTTTGATGAACCTGAGCACGAGGTCGTGGTGGTGGATCATCCGAGAGATCCGGGTCGGCTGGCGTCGGCGCTGGGGATCAAACGCGAAGAGAAGGTGAAGTTCCGTCATCGTGCATCGATCTGGGGGGTGTACACGACTCCCGATGCGCGGGGGAACGGGTTTGCTCGGATGATCATGAATCGGGCGATCGAGATGGCGCGTTCTTGGGATGGGGTGGATGTGCTTCAGCTTGGGGTGTCGGGCAACGCGCCGGCGGCGATGGCGTTGTACCTCTCGCTTGGGTTTGTTGAGTGGGGGGTTGAACCTGATTGTGTGCGCGTAAATGGTGAGTCGTATCCGGAGCATTACCTGGCGCTGCGATTGAACGATTGAACAGGTGCATGGTTTGTGCAGAGTTGGCGCATGAAAAAACCCACCGATGTGGTGGGCTTTGGTTGAACGAGTTGATTGATTAGCCTTCGGCGCCGGCGAGTTCGAGTTCTGCGGCTTGTTCGTCGGTCAGTGTGGTGACGGTTTTGATGATGATGGATTCGACTGGGACATCGCCGTGCATACCTTGTGGGGCGGTCTTTGCGGCGCCGATGGCGTCGAGGACATCTTCTCCCTTGACGATGTGTCCGAAGACGGCGTATCCGGCGCCGTCGCGTGGTTGATCGAGGAAGCCGTTGTCGGCGAGGTTGATGAAGAACTGTGAGGACGCGGAGTCAGGTTGACGACCAAGGCGCGCCATGGCGATGGTGCCGCGGGTGTTCTTGAGACCGTTCTTCCATTCGTTCTTGATTTCTTCTTTGGTGGATTTTTTCTTGAGGTCTTGGGTGAATCCGCCGCCTTGGATCATGAATCCTGGGATGACGCGATGGAAGATGGTGTCGTTGTAGAAGCCGTCTTCGATGTAGGAGAGGAAGTTCGCGGTGGTGATTGGGGCTTTGGTCTCGTTGAGCGCGAGGTACATGGTTCCTTTGGTGGTTTCCATGGAGATGTAGACCATTTTGTCCTCCTGGACTGCTTCTGTTTCGGTTGGTTGGGATGCTGCTGGCTTTGCGGCTTCCTTGGTGGTTGGTTGCGTGAACGCGATGGCGGCGAAGACGGCTACGCCGAGGGTGAGGGTGGTGATTGGGATCAGTTTTTTCATCTGTTTCAGACTCCGTATTGATGAATGGTGACGCGTCGATCGTCACTGTTCAATGGTAGCACTGGTGTGCGGCGATTCCCCACTTACTATTGGGATGGGGCGCGGGGAGGTTGCATGAAATCGGTCGATGATCCGATCCAGAACGCTGTTTACAGGGTCTGAGTGATGTTTTTTACTTTCGGCGTGCTGGTGCGAGTTGGGATGGGTAGTCGATTCCGCTCAAGCCTCCGAGCGTCCAGCGGTAACGCATGTTGAGCTCAGTTTGATCACCAAGTCCTCCCATCGGGAGCGGAAAGGTATCAAGGGGAACATAGGTCTGGGTCCACACGGCTTTGCTTCCAAAGAGATAGTCGTTTGGGCTGACGGAGCTCTGCGCGAGTCCGGATTGGAGGGTGTTGATGGAGCCGTCGAACATCAGTTTGGATGAGGCGGCGTGGTCGTATGCGAAGTAGGGGGTTCCCGCTTGCTCGCGATCGAACTCCTCGAACATGTGGACTTTCATGGATGGGAAGCGGACCTGGTGATAGCGGCGTTCGCCGATGACTGTGGATCCAGTTCTTGAGAAGAGATGAGGTGTACTGTCTATTGGTATGTACTGATCACCAAAGTCCGGATTCCATGCGTGCGGAACGACTTGATAGGAAGAGGCGAAAGCCCAAGCTTGTACGATTCCGATCGGCCCCCAGTTGGAGTCCTCGTCATATCCAGCATATTTTGGTTGACCATTGCCGTAGGGGAATGAGTTGTCTGCTTCGGTGTATTCGAGCGGGTTGAGTTGCCAATGCAAGAGATTGGCGTCGGCGGGGTCGGCCCATAGGAGATCGGAGACATTGCCTCCCATGTAATCCGCGAGTACGAGGTGCGACCAGCGCCGGTACATCAATCGCTGCTCCGGAGCGATGAGGCTTCCAGGACCGGTGATCCGGCCAGTAGCGCGTTGGAGGATATTATGTGTTTGCCAAGCGGCGGCTCGCGCATCTGTGCCTGGAGTTTTGAAGGTGCCGTTCTTGAGGTTGAGGTAGGAGCCGCCTGCTCTCCAGGTGAATGAGAAGATGCGGTCTTCATGGTCGAGGGCGTACATGGCGCTGACCTGTCCGATGGTGGAGAGGTTGGCTTGTGAGCTGAGTCCTCGCATCTGTTTGCGTGCGGAGCTGAGTGCTGGCGCGAGGATGGTGGTGAGCATCGCGAAGATTGCGATGGTGATGGTGAGCTCAACGAGGCTGAACGCCTTGCGTTGTGTGGTATGCATGTGAGTCCCCAGATCCACGGCTGTATGAAGCGCGATGGGTGTCCATCGCGGGGGACTATCCGCATGGATAGAGGTTTGGTTGCGTTTGTTAGTGCGTGTGCTTGTCGTGCTTATGTTCGTGATGCGGCGGATCGAAGTGGATCGAAGCACTGAGCCAACGCGCGAGGCGGAGGTTGATGTAAAGGACGAGGAGCACGACGAGGGCGATGACGAGGTACTTCGCATCGGCGAGATCGGTCGCGGCGTCGGATGCGGATTGAACGAAAGACTTCCAGCCTGCAAGAGCAGTGGAATGGGTGAGGGCGTTGAGCAGGGATTGGAATGTGTGCTCGAGCATGTATCTAAAGTGTGTTATTGGTCGAATCCAATGGCGAATGAAGTGTGATATTGGACACGGCTTCGGAAGAATTCTGATTGGATGGATTGGGTTGTTTCGGAAGGACAGTCCGAGAATCAACCAGTGAAAAGTGCGTTCAGAAGGCGTGTTTTTGATTCGATTTTCGGGCTTGCAGGTCGGTTTGGGGGTGCTGAAGACAATGGGAGTGAAACTGGAGCGGAAGAAATCGGTATGACGAGATAGAGATGTTGACGATGTTGCTTTCTCGGCTGGCATTCGTCGGCGTGGAATGAATCGTTGGGGACTGCATGTACGACTTTGTTGATGACACACCGAAGACAGTGAACGAACCCACGGCGGGTGAGGCTCTTGTGGAGTCTGGCGGCGTGGATATTGAGCACGAGATTGCTGAAGAGACGCGGCACACGGGCGAGTTCTCGTTCGATCTGCATGGTGTGAGTCATCCCGATGCGTTGTATCGCGCCGCTGGGGGTGAGTCGATCACCAACAGTGATGTGTTGTTTGGGTGTCCCTGCTGTGGACGAAGCGTCGGGCGTGTGATCCGTGTGCAAGCGACTCCTGAATCGCACTGGATGGCGGTGTGCGCGATGTGCGCTGCGTCGGTGTTGGATCGGTACCCTCAAGCGTTGATCGGTGGTGTGGTGCGGAGCGGGCGTCGTCGCCGACGGCGGTATCGCGAGCAGCAGCGTCCGATGCGTGATGCTGGATGAAGCGATTGAATATGGAATGAAAAAACACGCCTACTTGGCGTGTTTTTCTTTGGTGTGTTTGGGGTGTGATTAGTTTCCGGAGTAGGAAGTCGAGGGATTGTTGTTCGCGTCGGTGCGGTATTGCTTTGGTTCGACGGGGAGCCATTGGTGGTCCGGATCCGGGAAGATTTGTTCTTCTGGTGCTTCTTCTGGGAACTCAGGTCCCTTGCGGAGCGAGACGCGCATCATGCGGGATTCTGGTGAAGGGACGGCCATGGAGTTCTCGTAGCGAGCGGTGCGGCGCTTCTGGTCGTAGATGACCCATTCCATGATGTCTGGACGGCGAGCGGAGCCTTCTTTGATTTTGTTCTTGCGGAAGCGGAGGGAGACTTTGGATCCGATCGGGACATCGACGGTCCAGATTGGTTCGTTGTCGCGGTTGTCGTAGAGGGTGACGGTGAGGGGCTCGTAGGGGGTGGAGATGTAGGTGTAGGAGTCGTCGGAGTACATGTTCCCGCCTGGGGATTTGGAGAGTGCTTGCTTGGCGTAGAAGCAGCCTGTCATCGGGAGGATGAGGAGCACTGCCAGGACGGCGAGGGCGGTCGTGGCGAGTTTGTTGGTCGTGGTCATCGGTCGTGGCTCCCAGGCGTGTGGCTGAGTGAGTTCGGATGGATTGTATGGCCCGGAATGGTGTTCAAATGGGCATCGGCACGGATATTGGGCGTGCTTGCGGTTCTTATCGGTAAGATAGGAGGCACGCTCCAGTGAAGTACGACACAGCGGGCGATGCGTTCGGAGATTTACGCGATGAGTGAAAATGACGGGCAACAGGCTGGATCGAGTGGTTGTGGAGCGGCTCATCTGCGGATTGGTCATGGTTATGACCTGCATCGGCTCGATGTGCTCGTGCCTGAGGGTGAGGGGAGGCCGTTTGTTCTTGGTGGGGTTCGGATCGAGCATTCTCGCGGTCCGGTGGGGCATTCGGACGCTGACGTGCTGATGCACGCGGTGACTGATGCGCTGCTGGGAGCGATCGGTGGTCCGGATATTGGGCAGTTGTTCAAAGATACCGATCCGGCGCATGAGGGTCAGGACTCTGCGGTGTTCTTGAAGGAAGCGGTGAAGCGAGTGACTGAGTCTGGTTACTCTGTGGTGAATCTGGACGCGACGGTGGTGTGCGAGCTTCCCAAGATTGGTCCGCATCGTGATGCGATCTGCGCCAATATCGCGCGGCTGCTTGGGGTCTCGGCAGATCGAGTGAACGTGAAGGGCAAGACGCACGAGCGCGTGGACGCGGTGGGGGAGGAGCGCGCGATTGAGGCGCACTGTGTGGTGCTGCTCACGGCTCAATGAGTTTGTTAGAGTTTATTAGTTCTTGTCGTCGGCGATGGAGTCACGCATGGAGGTGTCGGCTTGGATGTTTTTCATGCGGTAGAAGTCCATGATCCCGAGGTTTCCTGAGCGGAAGGCTTCGGCCATTGCCTTTGGGACCTCGGCTTCGGCGAGGACGACGAGAGCGCGGTTCTTTTGGGCTTCTGCTTTGTGCTCTTGCTCGGTTGCGACAGCGAGGGCGCGTTGTTTTTCAGCGCGAGCTTGCGCGACTTTCATGTCTGCTTGTGCTTGGTCTTCTTGGAGTTTCGCGCCGATGTTGACGCCGACATCGACATCCGCGATGTCGATGGAGAGGATCTCATAGGCGGTTCCTGAGTCCAGACCTCTCGCGAGCACGGCTTTGGAGATCGCGTCTGGGTTTTCGAGGACCTTGGCGTGTGAGTCTGCGGAACCGATGGAGGAGACGATGCCTTCACCCACGCGTGCGACGACGGTTTCTTCTGTTGCACCACCGACGAGTCGTGCGAGGTTGGTGCGGACGGTGACGCGGGCGCGTGCTTTGAGCTGGATGCCGTCTTTCGCGACGGCGTCGATGGTGGGGCGTCCGAGTGTTGGGTTTGGACAGTCGATGACCTTTGGGTTCACGGAGGTGTTGACCGCGTCGAGGATGTCGCGTCCGGCGAGGTCGATCGCTGTTGCGACTCCCCAGTCGAGTTCGATGCGTGCGTTGGATGCGGCGATGATCGCGGAGACGACATTGCCGACATTGCCTCCGGCGAGGTAGTGGTTCTCGAGGTCGTCGGTTCCGATGCCTGTGATTCCGGCTTTGACGAGGCGGATCTTGTTGATGACGATGACGGTGGAGTTCACTTTCCGGAAGCGCATCGCGACGATGGACATGAGTCCGACATTCGCTTTGGAGAGGAGGGCTTGGAACCAGAGTGAGAAGTAGTTGAAGAGGATGATGACAAGGATAAAGACGACGAAAGCGGCAACGCCTGCGACAATCCAGAGTAATGGGGTCATGATGAATCTCCAGCGGTTTGTGTGTTCTTGATACTATGCGGCTGTTGTGTGGTTAGACCGCTCGGACTTCGATTTGCATGCCATCGACTGCGACGACGCGGATTGGGGTGTCTTTGTCGATGATTTTGCCCTTGGCGATCGCGTCGTGGCGCTCGTTGTTGATCAGGACAATCCCGACGGGGTGGAGGTCGGTGAGTGCGGTGCCTGTCTTGTCGATGAGTGCGTTGCGTTGTTCGCGCCAGCGGGAGGACTCCTGATCTCTGCGTGCGGCGATGTCTTCGTCGGAGTCGCCGAACATGGACTTTCCGAGCGGGGTGCTTGGGAGGAGTTTGAGGGTCCAGAAGAAGAGCATTGGTCCAAGGATCAGGGTTGTGAGCAGACCGATTGCGCCCCAGGTGGTGTCGTGCTTGAAAAGGAGCACGATTCCGGTGATCGCGGACGCGGCGGCGACAAGACCGATGATCCCTCCTGAGGGGACGAACGCTTCAACGACGAGGAGGAGCGCGCCGAGGAGGATGAGACCGATGCCGGCCATGAGGAGGGTTTCCATTTATGTGGACTCCTGATCTGTTGGCTGAGTGTCGGGATGATCGATTGGTGTGGATTCGTTCGCATGATCGTGGGTGATGCGATCGACGACAATGCGGAATGATTCGACCGCGGTGACTCGGATCGGGGTGTCCGCTTCGATATATCCGAACTCGGCGACGACATCGATGAGGGTGTCGTTAATGTCCGCTTGTCCGGCGGGGCGGAGGTCGGTGGTTGCCTTGCCTGTATTCCCGACCTGGATCGCGTCGTCGGTGTTCATGGCGGAGAAGACGGAGGTCGCTCTTGGTTCAGCGGCAACTCCTGAAGCGCCTGAAAGGATGAGACGATCGAAGACAGGGATCCGCTGGACATTCTTGCTGATGATCCAGATGACGATCCCGGCGGTGAATCCGGAGAGTAGGAGTGTCACAACGGCGCTGAGCAGGTCTTGCTGGGTCGCGGGGTTGGAGAGTGAAGATCCAGCGGGGATGAATGACCAGAGGATTCCGGCGAAGAGGGAAACGAGTCCGAGGGCGCCGAAGATCCCGAATCCTGGGAGGACGAACGCTTCGATCGCGAGGAGCAGGAGTCCGACGACGATCGCGATGATTTCCCACCAGCCGGCGAGTCCGACCATCGCGGGGGGGGCGATGAGCGCAATGAGCGCGATCACGGCGACGGTGGCGCCGATCCCGGTTCCTGGTGTGATGAGCTCGACGAACATCGCGATGATGAAGATCGCGATAATGATTCCTCGCACAGGGAGGGAGGTCATGAAGCGGACGAGTCCTTCGGACCAGCTCTCGTTGGCACGGGAGAGTTCTTTGGCGCCCATGAATGCTTTGAGTTGTTCGTCGGTGTTGACGATCCCGGAGGAGAATCCGAGGTCGATGAGTTGTTGTTCGCGCATGACGATGGGGGCGGAGCCGTCGGTGATGTAGGCGATGGGGGTGTAGTTGATCGCGTCTTCTTTGGTGAAGGTTGGGCGTGTTGAGCCGGCGAGCAGCGAGAGTTCGGCGACGCGTTCGGGGGCGTTGAACTCGCGGACGACATCGTCGAGTGTATCTGAGGCGGGTTTGAACGCGTTGTTGTCGGCTGGCGTGGTTGGCTGCTCGGTGGTGTTGGTTGTCTCGGTCGGGGAGTCACCTTGTCCATCGGTTTGTCCGTCGGTGGATGAATTAGGATCTTCAGATTCGCTTGGATCTTCTGTTGGGTTGTCGGTGACTCCGGTGGGTCGTCCGCCGGTGACTTGGGCGATGAGGGGCATGCCTCGCGGTGGGTCTTCGCTAAAGAGGGCTCGGTACTCGGCTTCGTTGATCGCGTAGCGCTGTGCGGTGTTGGTGTTTTCGATTTGCCAGAGTTCGATGCCGTCGATGACGATGGCTTGGACGAGGTATTCGTCGTATCCGTTGCGGCGCGCCGAGTCTGTGACATCAGCAAGGAGTGGGGGGAGGAGTTTGGTGCGCTCGTCTGCGGTGAGTCCTCGGAGTCCGCCTCGGGTTTGGTTGCCTTGGGTGACGGCGGTCATGATGACGGGGAAGGCGTCTCCCATGGATGCGGGGGTGGAGGAGATGATCTCGGCGCACGCGAGGGCGATGATGGCGCCTCCGGAGTAGGCGTCGGGGTTGACCCACGCGATGGTGTTGGTGATGGTGGAGGATTTGATCGCGTTGGTGATGTCGAGGACTGGGCCGACTCCTCCACCTGGAGAGTCGATCTCAAAGACGATCGCGTTGTATCCCGCGGCTTCGGCTTCGTTGATGCGACGGCGGACGCTCATCGCGGTGATCGCGTCGATCGCGCCCTCGATGGTGATGATCGCGACGCGGTCGGCTTGGCGCGATGATGGGACGGAGACCGGGGCGCTCGGGGTTGGCTGCGCAAGCGAAATCGATGCGAGAAGCACGATCAATCCCGAGAGGATGATGCGGAGCGATGCGGGGATGTTTGATGCGTTAATCACGCTTGTATTGTACGGCAAAACCGATGCTGAGATTCACATCTGTGCGTTCAGAAGCGATGCAGACTTGTTCTGCTGGCTTACTCGGTAGGCATCGGGAAGTAGACGATGTAATCAGCGGCTGGGCCGGTGGTTTCGTCTCCGGCGTCGTCTTCGGTGAGGGTGTCGAGATCGCCTTCGGTCATGTGCATGACGAGTGAGCGGAGTTTGATGTCGTTTCCGAGTCGATGGTGGATCGCGTCGGCGAGGGCGCTGCCGCCGGGGGTTGGTGCGTGGTCGACGTGGAAGTGTCCGACGACGTGGAAGATGCTGGCTGCTTGTTGTGTGTGGTGACTGGCGATGGAGGCGGCCATGGTTTGGTCCCATACGGTCTGGGAGCGGAGGAAGGAGTTGATCATTTCATCTCCGCCGTGGGCGGCCATTCCTGCCATCGCGTCGCGGAAGCGGTCGGCGTAGGAGCCGGCTGGGAGACTGTTGGGGATCTCGACGAGGGCACGCTGGCGGTGGTTGAGGTCCGCGAGGGCTTGGAAGCCTCCGGTGCGCGCGAGGCGTGTGTAGCGGCGAGGGGAGTTGGCGGCGATGATGGCGCGGTCGTTGAGACGCGCGAGCTCGACCATGCGGAGGTGTCCGATGGGGTTGTTGGATTCGGTGCGTCCGGCGGCTTTGACGAACGCGGCGTAGTCGGTGATCCCGGCGAGGTAGTCGTCGAGGGCGATCTGTTCGTCGCGTTCGTAGAACTCCATGGAGAGGTCAAGTGTGGTGTTGCGGGCGATGAGTGCTTCGAAGGTGGTGGCGATGAAGTCGAGGGATTCGGTGTGGCCGTGCATTTCTCCGACGAGGATGACGTCGGCGTTTGCGAGGTCGGTGATCAGTTCATCGAAGGAGATTGATCCTGAGCCGTCCCCTTTGAGGATGGTGAGGGCGGTCGCGTCGTGTCCGTCGTCGAATCCGGGCGCGGCTTCGGGGGGAAGGACGATGGGTTGTGGTTCGACGGATTGGGTTGAGGCGCATCCGGTCAGGAGGGCTGCTGGGATGAGGAGAGCGGCGAGGAGGGGGCGCATCATGTTGTGGTCCGTTCTGTCGATCAGGTCGTTTCTGCTTCTGGTGCTTTCATGCCTTCGAGCATGTCCATGACGAGGGAGAATAGGAGCGGGACGAGGAGGAGTGTGAAGACTGTGGAAACCAAGAGTCCTCCGACGACGACAGAACCGAGTCCGCGGTACATTTCTGAACCCGATCCTGGGACGAGGACGAGGGGGAGCATGCCTCCGACGGAGGTGAGGACGGACATGAAGATCGGACGCGTTCTGGTTTTGACGGATTCGATGATTGCGTCGGTGTGGTGCATCGGTTCGAGCACGGCGTCGGATTGATCGAGGTTGTCGTCGGATTCGCCTCGCATGAAGTTGAGGGCTTGGTGGACGAGGAGGATCGCGTTGTTGACGACGACTCCGATGAGGATGATGAATCCGAGCATGGTCAGGACGTCGAGTTGCTGCGGCGCTTTGGTTGGATCGGCGAGGGTGACCTCGTGGACGATCTTGAGTCCGGCGAAACCGCCCACGACGGCGAGGGGGACGGTGAAGATGATGATGAGCGGGTAGAGGAAGCTCTCGAAGAGGGCGCACATGAGGAGGTAGGTCACGAGGAGCGCCCAGATCATGCGTGCGGTCAGGAGCTGTGGGTTCCCTATCGCGGTGAAGGTGAGGGCGGCGAGGATGATCGCCATCAATGCAACACCTGCAATGGCGTAGGGGAGTTTCGGGTTTCTGGCTTTGGCGGCGCGGATGATCGCTGGGATTCCGATGAGGGTGGTGATGATGAGTGTGGCGATCCCGAGGTAGATATTGAGGTTTGATTTCTTGGTATCGCTCTCGGGCGCGACTCCGAACATGGAGCTCTGTATTTTTTCAAGATCCGCGGCGCTGCCTTCGAGGCGTACTCGCATGGAACGATCGATCAGTCCTGCGTCGTATGCGGCTTCGATGACATTGGTGTCGATCCATGCGATGGCTTCCCCGATGGGCATGGACTCTGGTGGTGAGATGTTGATCGAGATGCTCGGGAGTTCTTCGATTCGATTGATGGATTGGGGAGCTGTCGCTGGGATGAAGTCCGCGATGGATTGAACTGGGACGACTGGTCCTGCGGGGGTGGCGATCGGGATATCGGCGAGTCGTTCGAGCTGATCGAGTTCGCCTCCGATTGGGACGACGACGAGATCGATCGCGTCGGATCCGAGTGTGTATTCGCCGACGAGGGCGCCGTCGAAGAGACCTCGGATTGCGATGCCGAGTCCTTGGTTGGTGAGTCCGAGTTCGCGTCCGAGGTCGTTGAGGACGACCTGCATTTCTTGTTGCTGGATCGCGAAGTTTGCGGGGTCTGGTGATGCTTTGGATCCGCCAAACTTGCCCATCGAGATGCCGAGCATGAAGTTTGCGGCTTCGTTCACTTGATCGAGATTTGGTCCCAGGATTTCGATCCGGATGGATCCTCCGGAGTTGAATCGTCCGAAGAGGGAGGTTTGTCCGGCGCCGCCGTAGGAGTCTGGGATGGAGTTCATGGCGCTGGTGAGCAGGTGCGCGATTGGGATGACGACCTGATCATCCTGGCTTGTTGCGCCGACGAAGATGTTGGTGTCGAAAGCGCCGATGAAGAAGTTGTCGATCGGGACTGGGTCGAAGACGGGCATCCCTGGGAACATCTGGATGTCTGGGAGGTCTTTCATAGAATCCGGATCATTGATATCGGCGCGAGCATATTGACCGATGCGTGATTCGATTCGGTTGGCGATGATGGTGCGCTGCTCAAGCGAGAGGCCCGGAGGCGTGAGCAGTCCTCCGAACACAAGGTTGCGGTTCCCGGCTGGGAGGTAGTCCATCGGTGGCATGAGCGCGAGGGCTCCGAGGACTGAGGCGAGCGCCATGACGATGATGATCGCGGGACGCAGCGTCCATCCTTTGATGCCTGTGATCAATGTTCGGATGGTCCATCCGAGGAAGTCGACTGCTTTTTGTCCGATGATGGTGAGTCCGAAGAGAGAG